CTAGTTGCTGTATGTGGGACGCGGCCTCAGCATGGCCAGAGAAGCGGTGCGTCGGTGCGCGCCCGGGATCCGATCCTGGGCCGCCAGCAGCGGAGCGCGCGCACTTAACCGCCAAGCCACGGGGCCGGCCCAAAAATAAAACTTTAAAACTTTGCAGAAAACTTCTTCATACAAATCCCCTTATGGATCCTTGTGAGTGTCTCTGTTTACCTAGCGCTGGGAACACTGAATCTCAAGGTAAATGCATACCTAATTTCCCTAAATCCTGCTAGATTGCTCTCCAGGAAGCTGTACTAGTCTGAAACCCCAGCAGCAGCACATGAGTGTTCCAGTCTCCCCTCATCTTTGCCTACACTTGTCGTCATCCTACTTTTTTTTTCTTTTTGGCATTCTGATAGGTGTAAAGTGATTCATTGTTTTATTTTCATTTCTGTGACTATAAGGAAATTGGGCAAATACTTCCTGCCATTTGGGTTCCCCCTTCTATAAATTGCCCATTCATATCCTTTGTCCATCTCTTTATAGAGTTTCCTGTCTGTGTCTTGTTGATTTGCTGTCAATTTCTTACATAATCACTATGCTATTCGTTTGTTATTGTTCTAGCCATCGAAATTTTTTTTTCAGTTTTTTTAACCTTCTGCTAGCTTTGTCTATGAAGTCCTTGACTGAACAAAACTCCTTAATTTTTATGTGGCCAAGTTCGAAGACTTGAAAATTTGTAGAGAAGTTCTTTCCAGCCCTATTTCTTCCGTAAAATACCTGTTCAAGTCTTTTGCCTACTATTCTATTGAGATGCTTGTCTTTTTCTTACTGATTTTAGGAATTCTTGATGTATTATGGATCCTAATCCCTCTAGGGAGTGTTAACTCCCCGACATTTCTGGAGTCCCCTATGCATGGGCTAAGCACACTCCTGTGACCAGTGTATGCGTAAGGTAGGAAGCCATGAGTATGTCCAGGATCTATCCACTAAAGCTGGAGGTGGCCTCTGGGGTGGCTAAGGGGGTAGGTGAGGCACTGACAGCATCTGCTATACCCACTGGATTAGTTCCCTGGGACCGCCATAACAAAGTACCACAAACTGGGTGGCTTAAAACAACAGAAATTTCTTCTCTCACAGTCCTAGAGTCTGGAAATCCAAAATCAAGGTGTCAGCAGGGTTGGTTCCTTTCGAGTCTGTAAGGGAAAATCTGTTCCATGTCTCTCTCCTACCTTCTGGTAATGGCCATCAATCTTTGGCATTCCTTGGCTTGTAGATGCCTTACTGCAGTCTCTGCCTCCATCTACACATGGTAATCTCCCTGTGTCTCTGTGTCTTCCATGACCATCTTCTTATGAGGACACCAGTCATATTGGATTAGGGGCCCACCATATTCCAGTATGGCCTCATCTTAACCAATTATACCAGCAATGATCTTATTTCCAAATAAGGTCACATTCTGAGGTACTGGCGGTTAGGACTTCAACATATCTTTGGCGGGGGGGCATGATTCAACCCATAACACCCACATTGTCCACTCTGAACATCCAGCCATCATTTAAGACTCCTCTTAGCCTCCTGTCATCTGGGAAGCTTTCTCCAGCCCACCTACCCACCGCTCCCTCCAGACAATTAGTTATTCAGTATTGTCACAGGACCCAGTACCTAATTGTGTGTTACAGTGTTTTATACCTGTCTATTGACTTGCCTGTCTCCTTCACTAGAGTATGAGCTCCTCAAAGGCAGGTACCAAGTCTCATTCAACTGATTCTCTAGTGCCCTGCACAGGGCCTGGCACACAGTTTTCATTATAATAGGAGCTAATACTTGTTGAGCGCTTACCACGTGCCGGTCACTGTGCTAAGAGCTTTACATATAACATCTCACTCAATTTTTACAACAATCCTAGGAAGTAGTATTTTAGCCTAGATGCCATAGAGCTGACAGAAACAAAACTCAAAAAAGTTTAAGCAAGAAGTTAATTATTGGCTCAATAAAAGGAAAGCCTAGAAGCACGCTTCAGGCATGGCTGGATCCAGACACTCAGAGAGAAATCAGGGTTCTTTCCCTCTACCTCTCACCTCTGCCTCTCTCTACCTGGCTTCACTTTGCAAGCAGGCTCACTCTACCCAGAGGGCAAGGTAGCCATCAGCAATAGTCACATCCTCTTAGCTTAGCCACCACAGTGGGAGAAACCAACATTCCCAGCAGAAAGGTGAGGTCTCTGATGGGCCATCCTGTGTCAACTGCCTAGGCCCACCAGGGAGTGGAAGCACAGTGACTGGCAGCCCATCAGGAGGTCTCCCCTAAAGGGGACAAAATAAAAGAAATGAGAAACCTTCTCGAGCAGAGTAAGGCTACGGTCACCATAAGCCACCGTAGGTGGGTCCTGGAGTTGTCTCACTGTATAAATGAGGAAAGCGGGGCACAGAGCGATGAGCTACCTTGCCTAGGTACCCAGCTGGTAATTAGAGGCAGAAGGAGGATTTGCCAGTCCGTTATACCCGCTCCGCATGAGTTCAGGGATGGACAAGAGTCCAGGATTCGGATGGAGGCAAACAAACCCGGGTTTGAGATCCATTTCTGATCCCCATGAGCTCAGTGTCCTCATCAGTAAAACGCAGGCAATAATATGGCCAGTGTGTACCTTGTGGTGAGGATTACATGAAATAATTCAAGTCCTGCATTTAGCACAGGGCCTGGCACATGGAAAGAGCTAAAGCAGAGTTAGCTATTATTATGAGTAACTATTCATTGAATGAATGAGTGAGTGGTATCTGAGCTCTAACACAGGGACTCTGGGTGGTTCTCTTCACAGAGGAAAGGCCTAGGGGACGGGGGTGGGGGGACTTTGGGCCCTTGACAATCTCCACCACCACTCAAAATATCTTCCTTGGATATTCCTATTCTTTGAGTTAATTCTTTGGGCAATTAATTTCTCTCAATTTTATGTAAAGTGGAGATTAAAGCATGTTTAGAAAATTCTGTTAATATTATTGATCTATAACTTAGCTCTAAGAAAGTCTCCAGGCCCATGCTCCCTTTCCATCCAGATGGCCACCCCAAGCCCCTTCTATAAGGAAATCTAGAGCTGCTGCTGGCTCCCAAGCTCCATACAGCCGGGTTTGCAATGGGCGCTGTCCCCATTTATTATCATGTGCCGGGAAAGAACTTCAAAGGTGCCAACGGCCATCATAATTAGCCTGGAAGTCATCCCAGTTTTCCTGTAACTGGGGAGCCAAGGAGTCCAGCCCTGGGGCTGGGCAGAGCTGGGGTGAGTCAAGACAGGGCAGGAATAGGCCTGGCAGGCCAGCAGGGCACCACACCCCTTTTCCCAGTTGTAGTTATACTTGGCCACCAGAAGCTTTAGAAGTATTCCCATGTTGAGTGGGTACACATGGTCCCAGGACATCCTTTGCTTTCTTTCCCTGGGGAAAGGGCATCTGGGCAGTGCAGGAATAGAGGAGACAGGAGAGCATTCCCAGTGGTTTCTCTGCCTGTCCTGCCTCAGATCCAGGAAACTGCTCTAGATGCCAAAGGTGTAGGTCCAGGAGGAAAATGCAATAGCAAGGAGGAGGGAACCAGCTGCTTCTCTGAGGGCTGGATGTGCAGAAAGGGGGTGGGGGAATTCTGAAGGGGGGAAGGGAGGGGAGGGGAGGAGGAAATGAGGCAAAGTGCCCAACTCTACAGTGGCCCAGCGGGGTCTCTACGTGGCTGAGAGCTCCAGGCCCAGGACACAGAGGGGCCAGGGTGCAGGACACAGGGATGCTGGGCTGCAAAGCACAGAGATGTCAGCATGCAGAACCTGGAGACGCAGCCTCATTTTCTGCCCCCTCCCCTACCGTTCCCCCTTCCCCTTCCTCACCCCCCATCCAAGCCCTCAGAGAAGCCACTGATTTACTCCTGCTTGCTGGGGGTCTGGGGACATTTGGACACCTCTGGACACTGTTCTGCCTTCCTATGTGATCTTAGCCAAATCATTTAATGACAATAACCCAATCCGCATGGAGCCACAAAGTGTGCTAACATCATGATGTCACAGGATCCTCCAACCATAGGCACTGTACGCACATTACCTCATTCGATCCTCACAACAACTCTGTGAAATACCATTAGTGCACCCACTTTACAGGTGAGGAAACTGAGGCTTAGAGGGGTGGTATGACCTCTGCAAGGTCATACAGCTACTAAATGGCAGAACTGGAATTCAAACTAGGATCTACCAAACCCCCACACTCAAGCTCTTCTGTGATCCGAGGACGTAGCACAGAGATTAACGCTATCCCCACTGCAGAGACCAGGAAACTGGCTTAGAGAGGTCACGTAACTTGCCACCCATTACACATGTGGAAAATGGTGGAGCCAGGATGCAAATCCATTTCTTTTACCACCAACCCAGTGTTCATTCTGCCAACAAAAACAGAAGAAGGCCCCGGTAGATGATCTCTGAAGTTCCCTCCAGCTGAGGTACTTTTTCAGTTCTGTGTTGAGGCAGCGAGGAGTTGGAAGGAGAACGGGTGAAATAAGAAAGCTCCTCAATCTTATTGCTGCACTCACACTACGTGTCTCAAGAATGTGGCTGCCCCAGCCCCTCCCTTTCAGCCTCACTCCTTCCCTCAGTGACAGAGAGAAGAAGTCATTCAACAGAGAGTTTCAGCCCTTGGAGCTGGGACTTCCTAGACCTCATGCTGACCCGCCCAACAGCATCTCCTCTGAGGAGTGTGTGTCCACAGTCACCCCCGGCATGGTGGCACCCGTCCCCTGACCCACTCACCCATCAGTGAGGCAGCAGTGTGAGTGGTCCCAAGGGAGAGTGTGAAGCACACATCCTTCCATGCTGGACGCACACTAGCTCAGCCTGACACACCACACCCTCTGACTCCGAACTACTGGACGCTCCTCTCCCTGAGCTGGCCCCGCCCAGCATCCCCGCAGGCGGGCATCTGGCAGCCCCTCCGCAGGGACACACCCGGGGGGAGGAGCTGCCGTCTTAGTGGGGCCCAGCTCAGGCAGACGGCGAGCTTGTTTCCTCTCCTCCGCAGCCCAGGAACCGACATGGCCCAGGAGCGTCCCGCCTGCACCCTGGAGCCCGAGCAGGTCCAGCAGCTGCTGCTCTCCTCCCAGGAGGCCAAGAAGTCAGCCTACTGCCCCTACAGTCACTTCCCTGTGGGGGCCGCCCTCCTCACTCGGGACGGGAGGATCTTCTCGGGTAAGGGCGGGCGCCAGGGGGCCCCATCCCTGGCAGCCTGGATGGGGAAGTCAGAGGACAAGCGGACAAGTGGGAAGGACACACGGAAGGCACAGGCAGAGAAGAGAGCAGCTCTGTCCCCTCCTCCCTGAGCATCCCCTGTAACGCTGCCACTCGCCCCTGCCCACTGGCCCAGACTGCGGGATTGAAGGTGTAAAGGAGCCCCAAAAACTCATCTACTGCTTAAATCTAGGGGCTTTCAATTCTTGGAGGACTGGGAAGCGAGGGTGGGATGAGGAAGGAAGCTGGAGGGGAGGCATCCGCAGTCCTGGTGTGCGGGGAGGAAGAGGGTTAATAGTTTCTGAGCCCTCCTCTGTGTCTGGACCCTCTAAGGCTCCCACAAGTTCTATCAGCAAGTCCTCACCTCCAACCCACTGACCTAGGTGTTATGCCCATTTTTCAATGAAGAAACTGAGGCTCAGAGAGATGACATGACTTGCTGAAGGCCACACGGGGCGCTGGTGGTGGAAGCCAGGGCTGGGGTCCCCAAAACCCTGCTTTTTCCCGTCACCCACCATGCTAAGGGATGGAGAAAGCCCGGAATCCAGGTCAAGTGACTTGTTTGTGGGGTGCGGGCCTTGCAGAGGGTCTTGGAGGAAAGAAGCCAGGCTGGGTTTGGGTGACCAGCAATGAGTGCCAGCCTGGGGAGGGGGGGACAGGAATCCGAGTCAGCACAAATCTGTTCCTAAGCAACTTTTCTTTGGTTTGTTGGTTTTATAAACAAGCTCACTTGGACAAAATTTCACACTTGTTTTTGCTAAGTTAAGGGGCATTCTATTTCAGGACAGTGGGGAACATGCTGTGGAGGTGGCAGGGAAGCCAAGCCCCTCCCCACGCCTCTCATTCCCACCACCATCCCAGAGCAGATGAGAATTGGCATAGAGGGACGGATGGGAGCACCGAGTCCTGCTGCCTAGAACTCCCCCTCTGCTTGGCAGCAGGTAGTTAAAGGAGCAAAGACTCGCATGTGTGCATCGAATTGGTAACCCCCAGCACCCTGGGCCAGGTGTGAGCCACTCGCCCCCACCACCACTCAGCTGTGAGTCCGCTGGGGCCCCCGCCTCCCCTTCTATAGCTCTCCTTGATGTTCATGTTATCTCTTGTCTTTTGAGGTTCTGTCAGTTTCATGAGTCACCCGGGTTTTAAACATCTTTGAGCAGGAGAAGGAACCTTGAGTGAGTCCTAATACATGAAAGGAACGTGCCTAATGTTACCCATCTAAGCCTTAGAACCCCGCAAGGTGGTTATTACATCCCCACTTTGCAGAGAAGGAAAGAGGCTCCAAGAGGTTAACTCGCAAGATCACAGAACTGGGATTCAAACCCAGGGCTCCTCTGACTCCGAAGTCTGCTCCTCTGAGGGGAACAAAGGATCTCTGAGTCTCATGTGGAAGTTCAGGCCTGGCCTGGTGGCTCAGACAGGTATTAAACATTGCAACCCACGCTGCCCCACGGCTCCAGGGCCATGAACATGGAATCAGCTACTGATTCTTTCCAATGCCTCCACATCTCCTCCAGACGGTATACAGGAAGGGGCCCTGCCCATCCTTGCATTGATTCATTCATTCCACAAATATTTGCCGAGCACCAATTATGTGCTAGGTAACGTACCAGGTTCTGGGGATATCACAGCAGAAATGACATAGTCCCTGCCCTTAAGGAGGTCCCCTCCTCTTGCACAGTCCATAGCTCAAAGTGGGATCCTCAGCCAATGATTATAGGAGTGAATGAATGAAGTGAGCCGGAGTGAAGCCTATTTAAATTGCAGAGAAGGACCTGGTGTCCCCAGAGAAAGGGTTGTGCAGTGTGGATTCAGGGAGGCCCTGTGAGATGGGGTGAAGCTCGGGAATTAGAGGCTCCTGGGTTTGAATACTGGTGCTGCTGTTTATCAGCTATGTGACCCTGGGCAAGACCCTTGACCCTTCTGAGTCTCAGCTTACACGTGAGCAAACGGAGGATCATTACGCCCGCTTTTCAGGATGGCTGTGAACAGAGCAGGTTTGCGTGGCCTGGCGTGGCAGCCAGGGTCCCCCCTGACGCTTGGAGCCTGTGCTGCATCAGTCACTGAAAATGCTGAGTCTCGTGCCTGGTTGTGAGGCTTTATAGGAGCTAATGCCTGTGAAGGGACTGGCACGGTTTCTGGCCCACAGTAAGACGGTCACATATGATGGCTGCTTCTACTTGGACGATGATGATGATGATGACGATGAGGGGGAAGCGGATTGTGGAGGCCTTTTGAAGGCCAAACAGAGACATTGAGATTTGATGAGGTAGGAAGTAGAGAGCCCAGGAACGTTACTAAGAAGAAGAGCAACGTGAAAGTGGTGTTTGAGGACAATTAGTCTGACAGGTACTCAAGGAGCGCTGGGGCAGAGGGAAGAGTGTCAGGGGGACCATGTCTGTCTTGTTCGCTGACCTGTCCCCTGTGCCAGCGCATTTCCTGGCCTGTAATACATCCTCAGTTAAGCTTCGGTGAACGCGTGAATGAGCGGCTTGGACTAGAACAGTAGCAGGTGGAATGAAGAGCAAGGAAAGATCTCAGAGATATTGTGTGGGACAAATGGACCGGGCCTGGGATTGGCAGTATTAGAAATAAAGGAAAGGAATATGGTTCTAGGACTTCCAGTGAGGTAGGCCGGGGGGGTGATGAGGCACGGACCGAGGTGGGAAGCTGAAGGCAGAGCTGGATTACGCTGGGGGCATGATGGGCAGGGACCAACAGCAACATTCATAGACACGATGGATTGAGCACTCACTAAGCACTCGGTATGGAAGATCTCTTGTAATCTCACAGCCACCACATGAGGAGGGACAATGAGGGTCACATGCATTAGTCAGAGCGCGTTCAGTTGTAAATGACAGAAACCAACCAGAACCATAATGGGCAAGGGTAGATCTTGTCTCAGGGACAGCTGGATCCAGGAACTCAAATGTCACCACACCCTTCCTTATCCTTCTGAGCACTGGTTTCTTTCTCTTATCCTGCAAGTGGGCTTTCTCCAGGCATCCGGGAACACAAGTGCAGTGGAGATGGACAAATTCCAGGGAAGGGCTCTGATTGCATGTGCGTGTCCCCGGGCCAATCACTGTTGTCACGATGGGGTAGTGGGATTGGTCCAGCTGATTCACAGATCCCTCCTAGATGGGGGTGTGGGGGTCTGTTACCACAAGAAGGGGTGTGGAGGTGCCAAGCAGACCAAACACATTGCCAAACACACCAAATTTTATAAACGAGATAACTGAGGCTCAGTTTGATCTGATTCCAAGTGCCATGTTCTTTCTGCTGCCCCTTGCTGCAGGGTGGACACGCGGATGCGGGCAGAGAGAGTCATGCTGAGGAGGGGGAACAAATGGAGGGCCTTCCCCAGAATCCTTGATCTTCTTATTGAGATGGAAGGGAGGGTACATGGCAGAAGGCGGGGCTTGGAGAGCAGGGGAGCTTGACCCGCCAGAGGAAACCGGAAACCGGATAGGGCATCATGGGGTGAATCAGAGACATTAGGAGACAGAGAGGGCACAGGGGAATTTAGACACTGTGAGTTTATAGCTTATAGCGGGGCAGGTCTGCCCAGTTCTGTGACTTTCTCCAGCTGCACAAAGACCTGCCTCATGGAGTTTCCCCCATCAGAGCCAGCTGGTGTTCCGTCCGATTCAAAAGCAAGTCTGGCTGCAGGGACAGCCTTGCTGTCATGATCTCGTAATAATGATCGTTTTCCCTCTATTAACCCCAACCCTGGCCAGGCCCTTGTGCCCCACGCAGATGGGCCACCAGGATGGTAATTCATAACTACAACAGTTACCTTCTGTGATTGCTGTGAGGAGAGCCAGAGAGAGGAGCTGGGTGAGGTGAGGACATGAAGAAAAGCTTTAAGATGGGATAGGAGGGGGACTGGGCAGGGGAAACGGAGTCACTCAGGGCCTCCCACGTGGCAGCGCTCAGCCCGTGTTTGTGGAATGCCGGGTGGGAGATGGGTGGAGGAGAATCATGGAGGACCATTCTTTGCTGGCACCACCCAAGCGATGAGGGAGTTTCTCCTCTTCAGCTTATGCCCTTGGGACAGTGGTCTATCTCTCCCTTTCCTCCTCTCTCTAGAGGGGCTTCGGCACTTTATATGTGCCATTGCCATCTAGGGAAAAAGCCACTTTACTGGATCAGCTGTAATGAATTCTGGGAGGAACAAACCACATAAAAAAGACACTTAAGGACGTCCGGTCTAATCACTGAATCCAGCTCTCTTTGGCTTAAACCTTCAATCTGACTCTTCATCCGTCTTCCCCCAGGTCAGCCCCTGCCCTCCTGATTCCTCCCTGGGCTCCCTTTCTCCTCCACATCACTCTTGGGTGCTTCATATTGCCCCTCTGCACAGCGGTTGACCTACTGCAGGCCCCCCAGCCCCACCCACAGCACTTCCAAGTGAGTCAAAGCAGGCTTCCCAGACCAGCTGCCTCTCCTTACAGCCCTGCCCACCTGCCACACGCCGGGCTCATCCACTGGTCCTCTCCACTGTCACTCAAAAGTGGCTCATTACCAAGATGAGCTTCACTAAGACCCCTGACTCTAGAGCTGAGTTAGAATACATGCATAGGTGAAACTGCGTTGCATTTGCGGTGGGCAGGGGGGCAGGGAGACGGAGAGAGTGTAGTATTTCCTCAAGCACATGGACATGACATTTCTCTAGTCCAGTGATTCTCAAATGTGGTCCCAGACCCACAGCCTCAGCATCTCCTGGGAACTTGTTAGAAATGGGAATTCTTGGACTCCAACCCAGACCTGCTGAAGCAGAAACTCCAGGGGTAGGGCTCAGAAATCTGTTCTAAGAAGCCCTCCAGAAGATTCTGATGCCCACGTGCTTGAATGTGAGAATTACTGCTCTAATCTTAAGATCCCTCCGAAGAGAGAGTGGGTACAGGGTGGGGACCGCGCTCCCCTGCACTGCTCTCTTCTCTGGGTGACTGGGTCCG